GATGCAAGAGATGCTTAACATGTCACACCGACACAATAGTGCCATTTCCCTTCCTTATGCAGGCAATTAAATAGCAATATCAGCAAGGTATCAAAATGAAACATAAGGCCTCGTGCCTCGATCGGTTCGCAGCGGCAAAGGATGTCGAGGGAGACCTACAAAGGGAATAGGTGGGTGTTTCTGGCTGAAATGCATGACACCCTTGAAATTTTCTTCACATGCAGGTAAACTGAGCCGCTGATCGGCACTGCTGCCAAGAACTTCCATTGAAGCCTGGAGGTCCATTCAACATGGAATTCTCTAGGACGGAATTGGAAGCCTGGGGGTGGGCGTTTAGTTGCAGCTGCAGCTGATTTTAGGGCGATTAGGGGCGTATTTGAGGGCGTGTTTTAGCGCTGGCGGGAGGGGACGAGGTGCAGTAGCTCCCGCCTGTGCTGCGCCATCGGCCGAACCCTGCGTCCAACCAATGGGTTTAATATCTTTTGGGGTTCAGCTTGATCATACGAGTATAGCTTGGAAGCATTGGAACGTAGACATGATTTGGCTGAGTCGTTGTAAGTGCTTCTGTGTCAGATGTGAGACCTGGGGATGTGCTGCCCGGCAGGAAACTGCCGTAGAATTCTGCTATGGATGTATTGATTTCTTTCACCGAATTTACAGGCACTTAGTTGTCAATCCATGTTATTTGGGCATTAGGCGATATATTCGAGTCTCGTCGTGTTTCAAAGACTGGAGTGATTGTATTACTACTAAAGTATTTATATATGCTACTGCTATTTTACGGCGTATCAAAGCCAAGCATCTCCAAGATTCAAACTCGCTCCAAGAAACTCCGCTACTAATCAAGCAAAGATAGAAAGAAAGAAGAAGAAAAAAAAAAATACACGCAAGAACATTGAACAGATGATACATGTATGAGAGAGCGGTGGCTGCTGTAATAAATGGCAGGTGCCAACACAACTTCACTAGATGGGAAGCAGCCGCCTTAGGTAATGGCATAGGACTACACGTACCGTAGCAAGACGCAAGCTGGAGCAGAAAATCTTCCGTCTACACAATCAGTGCATCAATTCCCATGCTCTTCAGGCCTTGCAGCCAGTTGACGCCGGCTTCATCAGAGCCTGGATTTGCATCTTGCAGCTCCCAGGCGGCCTTCAGCAGCTCTATGGCCGTGAACAGATAGCCCCAAGGGCACGTCTCCCAGATGCCCAGAAGACGCTTCATCGTCCAAGTACGCTTTTCTGCATCGCGAGTTTCAGCTCCCGCAATAAAGGTAGGCCACGATGTAGCCTTGTAATACGGATCGTCCACGCTAATCTGGCCCAAGTGTCCCAAGATGTCGCCCACCAGGAATTCGGTGTCTACAGGGCGGACGGCACGCACGAGGGGCAGTGCCTGTAGAATATACAGGCATGCGGCAGACCGATGAGCCGAGGCGATATGGATGCGGCTCTCAATGTCTTGCACTCGAGGATTCTGCCGCAGTTTATCTGCCCATGCAGGTATATCAAAGGCAAGAGCCTCGTCGATTAGAGTAAGTGCCTCGTCCGCGGCAGACAGGGACCAGTCGGTGCAGGGTGTCTCGTACGAGAGTTTGGAGGCTACCAAGATGATGTGAAGGATCTCCGGCGGGCACGAGAGATAGCTGTTGACTTCGACACGCTTCATGACCGGCAGGAGTTCGAAAGCATACCGTGCTATGTTGGTGGCGAGGCTGCCCGACGCAAGCGTTGACCCTAAGATATGATATCTGTGGGTTAGTGAAGCAAAGCGGTGTCAGTTTTGTATTACCCAGTACACAGAAACACAAGCTGCGATCTCTTTATTTGGCAAGCCCCAAGGTGAGACAAAAAGTGGTCATTACTCACATAAAACAATCAGCCACCACACAGTCACGCAGCATCCTGTTTGGTTCGCTTCCATTGCCTCCTGGAGCGAGCAAAGCAAGGATACTACTGGCACCTTCCAAGTGAGCTCTCCATCCCTTGCCCTCACTCTTTTCCAAGTCTATCAGATCAAATTTGATGAAAAAATGCATGGCAGCAAGGACGACTTCGCTTCCCCCAGGATCCAGGGAGTCAAGTACTTCTTGCAAGTGGCCCATGGCCTTTTGCTTCGCAGTCAAGGCATCGATGAGGGCTTGCCTGGAAACCAGGTCTTTTGATCGTAACTGGGCGAGATACCCTCCGGGGTCACTAAGTCCTGTTGGAATCGCAGTAATGGGACGAAATATGTTGGACCAGTGTATTGCTGAAGTAGCAACAAGAACCTGAAGCAGAAGAGGATGCTTGTTAGTCAACGGGATAAGATCTCTGAAAGGATTGGCTCCTGGCCCATCTCGAGCCACCAAGTCTTTGCAGACGCGATCGGCAACTTTCAAATCCGTTAGTACAATCCCCGCACAATCATCCAGCTAGCCTGGCTGTTTCGGAACTTGGCTGTCTCTTACAATGTGCTAAGTAGTATCTTGAATTGCGATCAAGGTCTTGAAAAAGAGGATCTGTCAAGCTGCCAAGTGCTGGTGGCCTCCACTTTCCATGCTCCAGCACTGCCTCCTGGTTTGGGCTTGAAGCTGCATCCTTCGTTGGCTCCGGTGCAGCCGACATCGTCGAATCGCCTCTCTTGCCTTTTAGTGGCGGCGAGGGGCGACGACCAGACGCCTGCCGGACACCGCCCGGGGCTGGTCTGCGCTCCCTGACCAATGCATCATGTGCTTGATTCTCGGAGCCAGAATCGGGGCGACGGCCAGAGACTGGGTCCGAAAAGGGTGGGAAGTAGCTGTTGGCGGCTGAAGAGAAGGTTGATGCAGAGCCAGAGCTGAGAGGACCACCAAGGGGCGTCCTGCGGCTTGGTGATGGCTTCAGATTCCCCTGAGCGTCAATCCCCTGAGTCCAGATGAAGACTTTGCCGTATCCAAGGCACTCCTGCCCTGAGACCGCACATTTGTGGCACGTCGGCCACGAGCGGTCGCAGCGCAGTCGTCGACGGCGGCAGTTGTGACACGGTTTGCTGTTGCTTGGCATATACGCCGAGCTTTGTGCGGTCCGGTGACGGAAACTGTGCGTGTTTCCCCAGGGGATTCTGATACACAGCGGATGGCCGGCCTCAGTCTCTCGCGTCTTGTCGGTCTAGCAACGCTCTAGTGACGCGCAACCAGGCCGGCATACGACAGCAGCGGCGGAGAGTCGATCGCTGAGCGGGCCTCTTTCACTCTTCTGGGAGTATGAGCATGGTGAGAATCTCGGACCTTTTGCTAAGTTTTTTTCCTTCCCCCTTTCGGTGGTAAGCTCAGAACGCACGTGCGTCGAAGGATAGCGTCAAAACTACCAGAGATGATGCCTGAAAAGCTCCATCATGGAGAACCAGTCTTGAGAACGACCAGACGTGATGTGGCACGCTGGCCAGCCAGTCGCTATCCAGCGGGCAAAGCCATGCGGCCCACCATCGATTATCAATAATCTAGCAGCATAATCCCCAATATCCAACCCCTCCCCCCTACCAACCGAAGCTGCTTCATAGCCCACGCCACCACCCCATACGCAGTCTAGACGCTCAGAAATAGACAAGCTTTCTCGTTACGTCGCAAGCGCGCCTAAATGGGAAAGCTCTTGACATTCTTTGCGTCCGATGCACGGCGACCGCTAGGCGGGACCTGCAGAACCGGTAAGCATTGGAAGCCACCTTGTCCTAGGTCCCGAAGCTTGTTCACCTGGTCTGCCGGATCTTGTCCATCCAGAGGTCACACAGACGCCTAATACGGAAATCACTTTACCCATGGCGCAGTGCGAGTACCTGAATCTCGGATGCGGGCTGGGATTGAGGGATTCCGATGGACGAACATTGTCACAATTGGGGCTTAGGGCCTTTTTCGCACGCTCTCCCGGTCCCATCACCCATTGTATGGCATTTTGACTCCGGGAATAGACGTGGTTGCTTAGTGCGCTGCTCGTATGCACAAAGTCTAACCACTTTGCGAGCACATACCCTGCAAACTCTCTCTCCTTCACCTGGAGACGACATGTCAAGTAAGGGAACGATCTTCGGTGAGCCGAGCAGAGGTGAGAGAACAATGACGAAGAAATTTTCTACTTCTTTTTCTCTTTCAATCTTATTTTCTGGAGATTGAAGGTGGACATAATCAAGTCGGCTTAAAGCCGGTGGTCAAGTCCCATACTCCATTCGTGGAGCCAAAAAAACAAAACTACCCCTGCGAAGTAGGTCACGATGTCTTCACAAACTAACTCTGCAGACCCAGTTGGGCTGCTACTACCGGGATTGCAGTAGCCCAACTCTTATCATCTCCACCACACGCAAATTTGAATCGATTCTGGAACGAGGTCCATGACACATCAAATCCATGTCCTGACTCTATTATCAGAGCCCTGCAGAGAAAACGTGGGCGGCAGTTTGAACGGTGGCCACTATCAACTTCTCAGTCGGCTCTCATTCCGGGTGAAATAGTGTGGACCCCTTGTCAGATCTCTCGAGCTACTATTGTAATGAACTTCCCTAGATGGGAAACCTTCAGACAAGTTTTGCGTTTGTTGCCGCTGTGGCTGGAGGGCGCCATGGAGGTACGAGGGTTTCAAGGCTCATGAAACGGTAAGAAAAAGTACGAAGACCGACAACGGAATGCTCACTGTGAGACTGTTCACACCATGATGATTGCCGGCAGATGACGGTAGCGCATAGCAATGGCGTATGATCTGGCAGAGAATGAATCAGGGTGTGAGAATTCTCTTTGTCGGCGGCCCGTGTCCTTAAGAAACACGAAAATTATATAAAAGAGTTCATGATGGCACTTGGTCAAATTCCGAGAGGCTGGTATCAAGCTTTCTTGATCTGATGCTTTCTATCCCGAACGCCTTAACCATCGTTTGGACTGCATCTCTCGTGAAGAGTTCATTCTCTTTTCGTTTCATCTATTCATTTGCCTAGCCGCGATGTTGGAACAAGACAGCAAGACTGAAGTCCAAGATGCTGCCGTCCTTGTCACAGAAATGCGCAGGGAGTCTGTTCAGACCATCGATGTTGAGGGTATTGACGTTGAGAAGCTGGGCAGGCAGCGGCCTGAAGTTTTTTCTTCCACTCTGATGGAGGTTGCCTTTGTCATCTCCATCCTGGGCTCCCTTTCTATGGCGGTGGGTCTCTCTCCTTGACATATGCCAGCAAGCAAGACAGTTACATTCCTCAAGAGGCGGAGTGTCCGCACATGCATATCCGTCCTAGCCGCAGTTTCCAAGAACAAGAAACTAACTAGTTACTTCTTAGGATTTCGTCATTAGCGGTTTTCAGGTGGTTTTACCTAATTTGATCGAGCCACTCGACATCCCTCTGCAAGCTCAAACATGGCCCTCAAGCGTCTTAACCCTGACCGCAGGCGCATTCCTGTTTCCTCTGGGGAGGCTGGCAGACATGTATGGAGGGTATCTGCTATTCAATGGAGGCCTGGTGTGGACTGTTTTATGGTCCGTCATTGCTGGCTTTACTCGCAACTTCATCATGCTCGTCATCTGCCGTGCCATGCTCGGCCTTGGGGCCGCGGCGTTTCTTCCTGCCGGCATTTCCCTGCTTGGCCGAATTTACAGACCAGGCCCGAGGAAGAATATTGTTTTCAGTCTCTATGGTGCTCTTGCACCTCTGGGATTCTTTAGCGGCATTATTGTTGGCGGCATGGCTCAAGATTTGCTATCCTGGAGATGGTTCTTTTGGCTGGGTGGCATTGTATCTGCCGTCTTTGCCTTAGGGACAATCCTAACTGCTCCTCGTGACTATGAAGAAGCACGCAAGATGAACGTCAAAATGGACTGGTGGGGTGTTTTTACGACTGTACCTGGCTTGATGCTTCTCATTTATGCGTTGACCGACAGCGCCAACGCCCCCAACGGATGGGCATCGCCTCGAATTCTGGTGACACTTATTCTTGGCCTCATTTTCCTTGGTGCAGCTGTATATGTTGAAGGCTGGGTCGCCGAAGCACCTCTTATCCCGGCGGATATTTTCCGCGTCAAGTGTATGAAAAGAATGCTCCTGTGTCTCTTCATTACTTGGGGTGTTTTCAGCATTTATCTCTTTTATGCAAACTTTTAGTAAGTCCAGCGAGTGACTCTTCTATAATGACTTTAACTAATCGGGAATATAGTATCGAAACAATTCTGGAAAAATCACCCCTACTGACCGCGGTGTATTTTGCGCCCTGGGCTGGTGGTGGCCTGGTCTTGGCTACCACAAGCGGTGTGATCCTCCACCTTCTTCCTGGCAAGCTGCTCATAGTTCTTTCTGGCATCTCAAAAGTCATTGCTGTGCTCATGTTTGCCATCATGCCTGATGACCCGAGTTATTGGGCATGGATTTTCCCGGCTATGCTTTGCGAAGCCGCCTGTGTCGACGTTCTCTGGACTGTAAGCAACGTCTTTCTAACTACTAGCCTGCCAAAGAACCGCCAGGGGCTTGCAGGCGCACTCATTAGTCTCATGCTGTTCCTCGGAGGTGCATTCTTCCTGGCCATTGCGGACGTTGCCAAGGCACAGTTTGTGTTGAATGGGATGGATCTCAAGCATCAATACAAGGGCGTTTTCTGGATCGGGGTTGGACTCGCAGGGTTGGCCCTGATCATCTGCCTATTCATGGATCTAGACAAGGCCGGTGGCGATTTCACAGTTGATGAGAAAGCCATGCGAAAGATGAGCAATGCGTCTTCAGAAAACGAGTCGGACGGTGAATCGTCAATGGGAGGTGTTCGGGTTGAGCCGATGCTGGGCGTGGTTGTGGATTCACAAGAGACTCTCAATCATGACCAAACCAGAACGGATTCTGTTTGATCGAGATATTTAACTTTGTTTTTATGGGTATATGGCTATGGAAATTGTTGAGGAAAGCAGCTATATTGCGGCGTATCTGGGTTGATTGAAGCGAGGCGTTTGGGAACTAAAAATTGGGAGCGAGACTGGATATATCAACATAGCACAGGAAGAGTTTATTCCTTCTGAAATAAATACTATGCACCTACACGGATTACATTTGAGAATACAGGTTGTCGCAGCATTCAATTGTCTACGAGATCTAACATGATATATACCATATCTTACATTCACGAGCTACCACCGAGTCTTTCCCTTCTAAAACCCTTTTAAGCATTGTGCTTCCTCAGTGTTTGCAGCAAAACAGGCGGGTTTGCTCCAATCATCTCGTCGACCTTGTTGCCGTTCTTGTAGAACAGGAAGGTCGGCATGGCGCGGATTCCCAGCTCCCGGCTCAGTTCGGGCAGCTCGTCGACGTCGAACTTGACGAAATGGACCTTGTCCTTGAATTCTGCTTCTTCGGATGTCCTATAATGGACACTGTTAGCATGATGTTGCGAGTCCATAAACATTTTTCTTTTCCTTTGGTGGACTCACCTTTCTAGGATGGGGGCAATCGCTTTGCATGGTCCACACCATTCTGCGAAGCAGTCCACAATGACCTTTTCTTGCTCCTTGACGACTTTCTTGAACTCCTCGGCACTTGAGTTTCTAATTAGAAAATGTGCATGTTACTTTGATGAGGATTTGGTAAGGGATATAGCTCACGTCTTGACATAGTGAACCGCCAGAGCAGGACGGCTGGCGTGGAAGAGTCGCTGAGATGCGACGCCTTGCCGGGCGATGGACGAGGCTGGGCGGAACATTCGGATTGACAGCATGTTTGCGGACGAAATCTAGAGGTGGTACAATGAATTGCGATTGAGTGAATGCGGATGAAAGGTGATTTATAAGAATGAGTTTTGTTGGTAGTGGCGATCTGGATGAGTAAAATATTTGTATGAGGTAAGCCAGCGTGCTCCGATTATCGATACAGTACGGAGTAAGTACCGAGGCCAACGCCGTTTAGATTCTTCACTTAAATATGGCACGCGCCAAGTAATTTCACTAGAGCAGGACTGTCTTTGACAAAAATGTATTATGCCTTACGATGTCTTGGGATTTGTATAATATGCCTACGGTTGAGGATTAAATCGTCGGTGTTTGCCGTATTTGGTGCTCCCAGTGGCGCAGCGATGCTGTTGTCCGCTTGGTGGCCTTTTTTCAGGCCTCCCTCCATACATGTACTTTTAGAAAAACCGAGGCCGAGAAGAATTCGAACACCCACGAGTTGAATCATACGCCTACAAGGGGAGTAGCTGCTATATCTGCATTTCCCTAGTAACTACTACTATATCTATATTTCTGTACTAATTGCTACTATATCTATTTTTCTCTAGTAACCGCTACTATATCTAATTTGTGTTGTAGACATGTTTCCCAATTGTACGGAGTATGTACAATACTCGTATGGTAGTATTTCGAATTCTGTTCAACCCCCTGTTCTATACCCTTGTCAACAACCTTGCCGATTCCTATATGGGACCAACATGCGTATAATCTGTTCCACTAGAATGCTCTATTTGAGGCAGGGTATTATTGGCTGGGCCCGGCGCTTAAAAACACTCCGCATCATGTTCGGCTGCCTTGTTTGCGTCTCCAGGTCTCTTCCTGTTCTTTACATCAATATTTTATACTATCATCCATGCGTAAATTACGAAAGATATTGGGTGGCAAGGGTAGCTCTTCGAGACAGGGCAGCTCTTCGAGACAGAGCACTGTCGCGAGCACCTCCATCAGCACAGCTTCCAGCACCAAAGCTCCCAATAGCAAAGCTGATGCCTCCCCCATCGACCCCTCCGAGAGCATCTGGAACAGCGCTTATGATGCACTCAAAGCCGATGAACCGAAGCTGGTACAAGCGTATGAGAAGATCTTATCTTTAAAACTAAGGAATACTGTCTCTCTAGAGCCGACCACTCTAGAAGGCTCCCTAGAGCCTACCATTCTAGAGCCTGCGAGCGTAAATACAGGTAATATCATTGAGAAAGACAATGTGCTGGCGAGAAGAGCGCAGATGCACCAGTTAATTGATAATGGCCTTAATAAAACATTTCGAGAGGCCAGTATCAAGAATAGCATAGGCCCAGTTATGCAGGTAGTCAATACTACTAAAAAGTTGGTGAGCGACGCAATTAAGGACATGCCACAAGCCGCTCTTCCTTGGGTTATAGTATATATTTCACTCTCGGTAAGGAAACCTACATGTATATATGGCAGCCGATCATATACATCGATAAACTAATTCCCAGGAAAAGATCTTAGCCAATCCTATATCGCAAACTGAAGCGAATCAAACGGGCATTGAGTATATTGGAATCACGATAAAGTGGTACTGGGAGCAAGCATCATTGCTTTTTAATAACAGCTCAAGCGACCATTCCTTTACTGGAGTACAAAATGAGTTGCAAAATGCATTCATCAGCTTTTACAAAAAGCTTCTGCAATTTCAGATGAAAAGCATTTGTAACTATTACCGGAACCGTGGGTTCGTTTTCTTACGAGACCTCGTCGAACTGGACAATTGGGATAGCAGTCTGAAGTCTATTCAAATAGACGACACTTCTCTTCGCAACAAGATACGTACGTTCTTGGGCCTTGAATCGGAATCACATCTCAGAGTTATAGCTCGTCACACCAAGGCACAAGAAACATATCAAAGGACCCAAGAAGACCAACAGTGTCTCAGAGACTTACGAATCACAGATCCTCGTGCTGACAGGAGCCGCATTGAAACTACAAAGGGAGGCCTATTGCAAGAATCATACCGCTGGATTCTTGAAAACCCGCAGTTCCAGACTTGGCGCAACAGCGATGATAACCGCCTGCTTTGGCTAAGAGGTGACCCTGGTAAAGGGAAAACTATGCTCCTATGCGGCCTCGCCCAAGAATTGATGCAACAGGCAAACCCGAGTCTGGTCACATTCTTTTTCTGTCAGGCCACCATACCGAGCGTCAACAACCACATAGCAGTTCTACGTGGTCTCATATGGCTTTTAGCAGATCAGCAACCTTCTTTAATATCATACATCAGGAAATCATACGATACCGCTGGGAAAAGCCTCTTTGATGAGGGAAATTCCTGGTACACATTGTCCGAAATTTTCAGCAATATGCTAAGGGACGAGGAACTGCCACCAGTGTATATCATTATCGATGCCCTTGATGAGTGTATCACAGGTCGGATGGAACTCTTGCATCTTATTCGAGATGCATCTGCCTCGTCAAATGCCAAATGGGCCGTATCTAGCCGCAATTGGTCTGAAATTGAGGAAAAATTAATTCAAAGCATGAACCTTAGCCTTGAGGTAAATGCTACACTTGTCGCAAGCGCTGTGGATGCATACATCTCCCACAAGGCATCTCAAATATCCCTTCTAAAACACGACGAAGATTTGAAAGAAGAAGTTTGTCGTCAAATGCGAGAGAAGGCCAACGGCACATTTCTCTGGGTTGCAATTGTCTTCGATAGGCTGAGTTCCGAGAGCAATGCCTATTACGACGATACATCAGATGTAATGGCAATTCTGGATGAGATGCCTGAAGATCTATCTAAGCTCTACACTGTCATGCTACAGCGAATTTCTCAACTAAAAGGGAAAGGCCCTGGATTATGTCGAAGTATATTGGCTATCGCAACATTGGCACATCGGCCCCTACATCTTAACGAGCTCTCAACTCTTGCAGGGTTCCAGGGCAATTTGAAGAAACTGCCCCAGTTAAACTCGCTGATAAAGGATTGTGGTTCATTCCTAACGGTCCGAGAAAACCACATTTACTTTGTGCATCAATCTGCAAAAGATTATCTAGCCAGCGATCCTTCCTCGCAACCTGTCATTTTCCGGCACGGAATGGGGGACGTTAAGTATAGCATGGTTTTAAACTCATTGAACGCTATGGATCAAACTCTAAAAGAGAACATTTACGAGCTGGAGCATCCTGGAATTCTTCTCGAAGATGTTAGCCCGCCAAATCCCAATCCTTTAGAACATTGTCTCTATTCCTGCACTAATTGGGCCTCTCATTTGTGCGACATATATAGTACTGCAGGAGATCAAACTCTCCTGGTCGATGAAGAAGAAATCTTGCACTTCTTGAAGAAGCATGTTCTCCACTGGCTTGAGGTACTCGCTTTGACACGAAATTTATCTAGCAACATATCTTATTTCCAAACACTCAACGAATTGCTAAAGGTAAGCCAAGAATTACTCATTTCGCAGAATAGAATACAAAACTGACAACAGCAGAAACGCTCCACAGCAGAGGAACTTCAAAAATTTATATATGACGCAAGCCGATTCATGCAATACAACACCCAGATTATGGAGATTGCTCCTATGCAGATTTATTCATCATCACTTCTGTTCAGTCCTCAGAGCTTAATTTCTACTCATTTCAGGAATAAGCTGTCCTGGATAAAACATGTACACAGTTCAGTAAAGGAAAGCCACTGGAGCCCTCGCCTACAGATAATCGAGAAAAAACAAGCAGAAACGATATGTTCCAATGGTACAAATCTCTTAGTAGTGCCATCCTCCTCTAAGACCGTTCAAATTTGGGATATGGCTACAGGAAAGCAAATCCATTCACTCAATCACGCAGGAGATGTACAAGTACAGCAAGCAGTATTTTCGAGCGATTTGAATCACGTGTTCACAATTGCAGGGGATCGATTCCATTGCTGGGATGCAAGATCCGGTGCGGTGATACACAATGCCAGACTTCGGGGGTTTGATATCGGAAGATTTTATGCAATCTCCAACGATGGGAAGTTCGTGGCGTCGTGTAAGGCTTTTGGGATGAACGAGGACGGCAGAATTTTTATATATCACACGGTTGATGGGACAAAGCTACAGCTATCATATGGCGATACGGCCCATCAAATGGGCTCATTGAAGTGGTCAAATAATGCTAAGTTTTTGGCAGTTACAACGGGATTCACTACCCGTATCTGGGAAGTGCCTTCAGGCAAAGAGAGATTGGAACTTCTTAACCACGATGATAGCATTCGAGGAATGCCCAGTTTTTCAGGCGATTCCAAATTCATAGCTTTTCCTGTTGGGGAAGGGTTTGAAGTCTGGGATTTGGAGATTGAAGAAAAGATACTGAATATTAGCGCAGAAAGTTCGTGGGAAGTCGAAATTGTCGAATTCTCCAAAGACTCCAGGCTCATTGCCGAAACTCGCTACCGCAGGGACGACAACGGGTTGACTCATTACCATGTCCTTATCTGGGAGATAACTTCTGGCATGAAACAACATGAATTACGGGTTAATTCTGGAGACATAACGGGAATTGCGTGGTCCGATGACGGACAAACGCTGGCTGTAGCATTTTCCGAGGACATTGAATTGTACGATCTAACTGAACATGCTTACTGGGATTTCAACGACCAAAAACCTTCGGCATATCAAGCCAAGTATTCACCAAACCTAGTCACTTTTTCGCCCGACTTTAAACTCGTGGCTACTGCTATGAGTTACGTCGCAGTCTGGGACACGACAACCGGCTATATCCTACAGGCATTTGATGGAATAGACACTCGTGACATTCTCAGATTGCAATTTTCACGGGATGGCAAGTCTATTTACATGTACTCTGAGGTTGACGGATTGCAGAAGTGGGACGTTGCCTCTGATAGCTTGATACACAAATTTCCCGCCTCTCTAACCACAGATCGGGTGAATGGAACAGCGTTTTCTTTTGACGGAAAGCTTTTTGCGACGGAATCAAAAGCGGGAGATGAGATGTTGCTATGGAATCTGAACAAAGCCGAAAAGACTTCCCACTCGATGACTTTTCACAAGAGGGGGCTTGAAAACATGCATCTCCTGGCTTTTTCTCAGAATGCAAAGTATCTTGTCTCTGCAGAGTATCTTGCTCCTGCAAAACGCTCGTCCCAGGAATTCACGACTTATATTTTTTCTATATGGAATGTGGAAACTGGCGAAGAATTGTGGGCGACGAACGTTGAGATGCGAGAATATAATAGAGTGCTTTGCGGGCGATGTACAGCCTGGGGAAACAAACACGAGTCGATTGAAATATCCAATGACGGTGCCACAGTGCTTTTCTCGGAGCGTGCTCGTCATGGGATGTGGGTTTTGACAAGAGGAGAAGAAACTAGGTTCCAAATCTGTTGCCAATATTTCGATCCGTCTTTCGACGGCGACTCGAGCACACATATCCTGACACAACTTGGTTGCATAGCACTGGACAATTTGATCGCTCAGGCGGATACATTTGCTGGCCCTTCCGGGAGAGCATGCGAATACCATTCTATCGTTGAAGGTTACGGTGTTAGTCTTGACAGATTATGGATAACTTGGAATGGAAAGAATGTGCTATGGCTGCCGCCAGATTATCGAATGACAGTACGGATGGCCAGATCCCGCCACTGTATTGTCATGATAGACTCTGGAGACAATCCCTGCATTCTTCGATTCTCTGGCCCACCTCCTTTCACAGCGCTCTCTTAGGACATGGTAGGTGGCATCCTCAAGGGCGAGGCTGGACGGAACATTCGGGTAGACAGCACGTTTATGAGTGGAGCTTCTCGTGAGGTTTCTGGGTGGTATAACGAATTACGATTTAAGTGAGTGCGGGTGAAAGACAACGGGATTCATAAGATGTTTGTTAGTATTCAGCTAGCATATAAATTTTATTATATAAATATAGCAGCAATTACTAGAGAAATATAAATATAGCACCAGTTACTAAAGAAATAGAGATATAGTAGCAGTTACTAAAGAAATATAGATATAGTAGCAGTTAATAAAGAAATATAGATATAGCAGTAGTTACTAGGGAAATTTAGATAGAGTAGCAGTTATAAGGCAAATGTATCGGGAACAAGCGGCGCTTCTTCTTGACGAGCGGTACAACAGCAAGGCTATTATGCGTGCTCGATTCGAGTTGAGACGGTATTGGTTGCTATTTATAAAGAGCTTCTTCTGTATCAGATGAAGAGCGTTTGCGACCATTATAGGCGTCGGGGCTTCGTCTTCTTACGAGACTTATACCTCTTACGAAACCTCTTATTGGAGCCGGACGGCTGGGGTTGAAGTTTAAGATCCTTTAAGCAGAGGTTGATGGATTGCAGAAGTGGGACATTGCCTCCGATAGTCTAATATATAAATTTCCCACCTCTCTATCCACAGATCGGGTGAATGGAACAGCGTTTTTATTTAATGGAAAGCTTTTTGCTTCTCCTCGGAAAACGATTTATGCTTTATTGGACCTCGAACCGGAGCCAGGCCAAGGTGATTAGGCCCCTCCATTTTGACAACAGTGTTGCTAGTATCGGCAGACCTCCAGAACCTCTTGTCAAGCAACTAGAAGAACGCTGTCAAAGTTAAAAGAAAGAATGGCGAAATATCACAAGAGACAAAAAGGGGACAATTCAAATCTTTAAGCGCAATCATATATTGTTCCATAGGCTGCTTCATCCCCCCGCTCAGTGCCAAATGCTCAACAAAGTGGCATCCTATATACAAATCTCTCTCTCTCCCCGCCAATATGACTACCAAAAAAATAGCAATTAAAAATGGCACGAATTTGATCCATAGTATCAACCTGCCTGCAGAATGAAGCCTCTATAAAGTTTTTCTTTTCCCAGTAAATTTTTTTGGTCAATCTGTTTTTATTTTGTCAAAATATCCCAACGGTTCCAAATCCGAAACCTAATTCCTCCTCTCTTCTCACTCCAGCCGGGAATCGATTGTGTGTATAAAAGCCACAACCAGCCTCCCATAAAAGAAGCAATCAGAAAGCAGAAATCAACTTTCAGAAAAAAAGAACCGTCCCATTTTGTTTTTTGTAAATGCTCATCACTTTTCAAGTCCCGGATACCCAAAGCTTTCCGGAAACGATATGCAGCCCTCCCCCTGAAACACAAGACGAGCTGCGAAAGAGTCGGGAAAAAATAGACCCCTTCGACAGAGTGGGTATCAAATCTGGTATATGTGCCTGTAAAAAAAAAACAAGTACTTGGGAATAAATAAAAAAAGCAAAAAACGCAGCAGCCCAACGCCAGTCATAGTTCGTCAATGGTTGTAATGTACAACGAGACGTCTGTCAAGAAGTAAAAGGTCCAAAGGTGGTTTGATGTGCAATATCGGATGTCGATGATTCCAGAGTCAGAAAGAGTTCCCCATTTTAGCGGTATATACGCGTTTTTTTGTCTTGTTTGTGTGGAATTTCTGCGTTTTTATGTCGTTTTTATCGATTTTCGGTCATCAGTTAAGGAGTGAAAATAAGAAAAGAGCGACTCGGGTCAGTTATGAGGTGGTACAAAGGAGATTCATCAACGGTGCACCATTGTGGTTCTGTATATAGGCTGAAGCCATCAATCGGTGCCCCTCTTTTTTGCTTTTCTTTATTTTTCTCGTTTTTTTTTTTTTTTGGTTGTTGTTTTCTTCCGGATTCGGGGAACTCTTTCGACTGTTGGAATCATTAGCACCAATAGAGGATCAACTTACACACCGTTCGTCCTCTCTTGGCTCAACCTCTTGCCATCCGCAGATGCTCGAGGGTGTATCTCTAACAGCTTCGCGCTTCCAGCGCTAAAGTTTCGAGCATGGCCAGGGTCCATCCGTACGCTTGTGGCCCGCTGCAGATCAACCTTCTCCTCAATGCTCGGGGTAATTGGAGAAATGGGAGAAATGGGAGCATCGAGGTCTTCCTCGTCTCCTGAATCGATGTTAAGCAGACCTTCGCGGCTGCGAATAGTATCACGATTATTCGTGTGTGAGACAAACTGCGGCTGAGCGCCAACGGCACCCCACCTGACCTCGCCTTCATCCCTCAGCTCTTCTCCATCACTGCTCGGGCGACCCTCGCCTGATAGACGAGAGTTGAATGTTAGAGCGGTTGGATCGGGGCTCAGGCGTGACATGTAATCGTCTTCGGTAATCTCGAGATCTTCGTGCGTGCTGTTCGAGGGAGAGTCTGGTCTGGCGTCTCGGTCTTGTTGTCGGGATCGAATCCTATCGCGCACGGATGACATCCGTTGGCTCCTCTGACTACCAACTCTCCCTGAGAGCCAGGACCCTTCTGAGTCGACAGATGCTAGAGACATGGAAAGATGGGGCTCAGCGGAGTGGCTGCCGTACATCTTGTCTCTTGACACACGTGATTGGGGGATGTCAATTGAACGATGGCCAGAAGTTGGAGTATCGTCTCGTAAAATTGGGTGATGGATAGTTATCGGTTCCGAACCGGCGGTAGATTTGTATGCAGAATCGCTGGGGTGAGAGGCGTCTGCTTCAGGTGATTGAAGACGGGATCCAGGTGGTGATATCGGAAGTTCTGGAAGATCCTCTCGGAAGCGGGATTTCATTCGCTTAGGCGGACCAACACCTGGCTTGGATGATAGATAGTTGCCGGAAAGTGATGACACAGGCGATTCGAGGCTTCTGGCCTGCGCTTGGGCATGTGCCGCCGCTACAGCCTGTGCAGCCATGGACATTTCTTCGCGCGAGGTGTTTGAGAAGGAAGACGGACCGCCAGAGTTGCGGCGACTTCTCCCCCACCTAAGCAAGGTAGAGAACGATATGCGGTTAGTCTTGCTGCTGGTCTCAGATCCTTTTCGTGTGGTGGCATCATCGTCCATTGCCAGAGACGTCTTTTCCTTGTCAGAATCAAATGTCGATCCCGAAGTAGACGTCTTGGGTAGCATGTTACCCTCCAGCTTGATAAGGGCAGGTAGCACTGCTGGGAGACGCTCGTCTGACTTGCGAGGAAGCGGCGGGAATCTTTCGGGAGCCGGCGCGGGCTCAGCCTCGCGAGGCGCAGTGTCTACCCTGTGGAATGTCCCCAGGGGTTCCGCCTGGTCCTTGGAAGGCTTCGTGGAATACTCCTCGATGTCAGACATTGGCTCTGGAGAAGCCCGCTGCTTGGATGATGTCACTACGGTTGATGGTGGATCGATGCCGAGGCCAACTTCTCGGCCCATGACGCCTCGCTCAAGATTCTCGGGTGAAGGGGTTCCCCTCTCCCTGGCGGTTTCTTCTTTCCTCTTTTGCTTCTCGGCCTTTCGCGCCAGTTTCTTCTCGGTCCTGTCTCGCTCACGCTGCCTGTTCCGTTCTCGTCTCCTAGCATCCCTTTCCATGAGCTCTCGTAATTCACCAGCATCAAAATTGTCGGCCAGATCATCAATGCGCTTGTGTGCCCTGAGCGTCTCTTCGTCAAGTGCGGCGAGTCTCTTCTTCTGAGAACCCGATCGCGCAGGCCCGGAGGCACGGGACGGGAGCAATCGAGCGCTTCCCTGATATCGCAAAGTTGGTCTGGGTGCGAGAGAATCCAGGGCGGATACTCGATATGATGAATAGTTGGAATCAATGGACAGGCGGGAATCGACCGAGATGGGGATAGGTAGCGAGGTGTCAGAAGTAGGGCTATCCCAAGGCGCCCTGACGGGTGGCCTGGCCGGCAGAGTCTTTGCCCGTTTATTATCATGTTTTGCGCTGCGAGTGGTGGCAAAGGTATCGGTAGTTGCTCGTGCCGGCGTAAAGGCACTCATGGCCTTGATCTCTGCTTCCCTGTTGGGGTCTTGTCTCTTTCGTTTGCTGCTCTTCCTCCTCGAAGGTTGGTTTCCGCTTCGTTTGTGGTGTAAGGTTGGTGCGCGGTTCTGCCAGATGGGATTGGGCGCATTCGCATTTCCTCCCGTCAAGTCTTGGGGTCGGTCGACATGGATTGCGTCTTGATGATCAGGCGAGAAGCTAAATCTCGGCGCATCCTGGCTGGGCCTCACGGGAGCCGACTTTGCCGCATTGCGAGCAGAAACGGTTTCTGCCGCAGAGCGCTTGTCGCCTCTGTTGCGAAAAGGCCACAGAGCCATTGTGGTGGTTGCTTCACCTCGAGGGTGGAAAGCCCCCTTGGTTTATTTGCGAGTCGTCTGAGTCTGGGTGTGCTGAATCGATATGACTAGATCAAGTGAGGCGTGAAGCAGCATGATGGTCGTTTAAGTCTTTTGAACCGGCAGACACGCATAAAGCACAAAGGGGTCCAGATGCGAAACACATGCCACGAGGCGCGTCGACAAAATCAGGCGGTTGCAATTTGTGAAGCGGACAGGCCGGGGTTTGTTTGTGCCATTCGACAATGCGATGTGGAATTGGAATGAGTCCCAGTTCCGCCCCAGCAAGGCATGTAAGAAAGAGGCCTCAAATGCAAATGCAAGTCCAGACGAACAAAGCAAGCAGCTTGGGGAGACAAAAAGAAACGAAGGAAGAAACGAGGGTGAGTAAGAATAAACGATTGGGTGATTCTAGAGTGCAAATGTCAGACTATTGTTTGGTCTTGCATTGCAGAAGAAGGAATCAAAAGGGCCCTCCGAAAAAAAGAAAAGATGTGAAGCGGTAGGGTTCAAGTGGGAAGAAAACAGGGAGGAGGCAGCGACGTAATTTAGCGGATAGAGGGTGCAGCGATGGGCACTTGCAGAGGGGCCCTGTGGGCGCTGATCCGGCCGCTAGAGGGGGTGCTGCAAGCCTGGTACAGGTACTCGTACAGGTACATACATGCCGCTATTCTTGTACTGTGCCGTAGCGCTACTTTGCGGTGCTACGCCGCTGCAGTTGCTGCCAAGGTACGGGGCACTTGGGTGGCACTTGGGTGGTTGAGTGGCACCAGGTGCCCTGTGCGCTGGTGCTGCCGGGGCCAGGCTTGCCAGGTTTAGCGCCAACGGGGCCTGCGTGGGAGAAAATTCGGAGACGAGCGGGTTAGTCCCAGTTGGGCAAGTCGGCAGAGGCTGCTAGTACGAGTGCATACATAAGAATAGATCAAATGATGGAAACTCCCGTTTGCTGGGCTAAGTGGATTTATGTGGTTTTGGGCGTCCATCTGTAGGTGCCTGGCATTGATTCCTACATTGATTTGATTCATGTCATTCTGTGGCTGTCATCCTTTGTTTTACAGTGCCTGGAATACCTACTCGTACGCACCTTTGGCAAACAAGTACATGTACACGCCGTCTGCAGCGCCAAGTCGGTAATGACTGGCGGAGAATTGGCCTCGACTGTATTGCTGCTGCGCCGGCGGTACAAGTACATGCAGCCCAGCAATCACAGCGAAGCGATACCAAGCCACGAGCTCACTAAGGCACTGCTTCATGCACTGCACGACATGTACCGTCGCCGTCGTACGCAAGTTCCAGTACCTGTAGCCGTCTTTGGCCCGTGTACACATGTATGAGCATGTCCCTCTGCGTCTGCGCTGTGCTGCACGTGCTGGGAAGCGGCGGCTAGCTCTGAATTATTACTCGAGTCGAGATGCATACGAGAGTGATGCTACGATATCATTTTCTATTTGTCTTTATTCGGCTGGTTTCTCCGTCCCATATTCTTCTAGTGAAGTAGTTTTTCAGTTCGTTTGCTCCGTTGCCCGCACCTTGTACGAAGTACCGGGGCTTGGGGTCCCAGGGAAGCGGGACTTGTGCTCGGCCTGCCCAAGCCCCTGGGCCACGACAAGCCCAAGTACTAGGTACATGTACCAAGTACACACAACTCCGGCCTCCGTGCCGGCACCAACAAGAAGTGTCCGGATGCTCATGTGCCAACAGCCAGAAGTAGCGCATCGTATCCCGAGTGGGACAGGGACAAGATAGAAAGAGAAAACTGCATATAGCAAAAAGAGAAAACACTGCGCGGCGGGGCGACAGGGGTCGATCAACTACAATCTGCAGAGCAGGAAAAAAGCATCAGACATGTCCCCTGCTGCTCGTTGAATAGGACCGGACCAGGCCCTGACTCCGTATCCCCCCCTCAATTCCCCTAGAGCCTCGAGCAACCAGGGCTTAGAGGGGTCGAGGGGCCAGTTTACAGTGCGGGCGGACCGCCAGTCTCTGCCCTACCCGCGCCATCTTGCTTGTCCGTGGCTAAACGACTTCTGACAGCGGCCGGGCTACTAGAATAGAGCTTACATGCAGTTGCCGGGCTGCCCATTGACAGCCTCAATGCTTTGGCTCAATGCTTGCGTACGCCGATGAGTTGTAAAACCAACAGCACCATCAGGCAGCGTCCATGTGCCAATAGAATAGAACAGATATTGATAGCTACGTTGGCGGTGCGTGTCGTGGCCTTGCTTGGCCTTTGCTGTGCTCTGCTGCGCCGTGCTGTCGTACCCGGGACGCGTCAACTCAAGTCCCGATACATCCCAGCAGCCAATGTTGCGGCCGATTCCTGTCTGCAGGAGCTGGTACAGGTACTTGCAGTGGCCAAAGTTGAGTGGCTAATAACAGGCCCGGTCATGCCCGGCCTTGGTTTGCGAATGGCTCTGGCAAAATCGAGTATTTTCTGCCACTAGCATGCATCAGAAATTGAAAAAAGGAATCAGATGGCCCATCTCGAACCATTCACAGCGAGTCGCTTATTAGCATCGTCTGCGGGAGGTGTGATGGCTCGAGTCTCGTGGACTTTTTCTGCCAGTCCAGCGTCGTTGCGGCTTGCCACCGCGCAGCCACAATTCGTGTCTGGTGCTCTCGATTCATTAAGTCTGGTTGAGATGTCACTTCATGCTACAGCACAGCACAGCACATGCTCCAGCACATGCTCCAGTGAGGTGGTTGTCGTTACTGGACTGTGTGCTGAATATCGTGATTGATGTGATCGGTGCTATGTCTGGTATGTACCTGTACTGCTACCTCTTGCGCGCAGGATACATGTACGAGTACGTCCTTTCGGGGGAAACGGCAGCTCCTTACTCCGAGTTCCGCGCAGGTCTCATGTCGTCTTCATGTTGCCTCATATTGCCTTGCCTCCATCTCCCGGCCCAGCCCCTTCAGCACCTCCAGCACACCCTTACGATCCCGTGCGCGGCAATGGTGGTGCACGGAACAGCCATGGCTGAGATTTGCTGCCGTCCGCTGCAATTTGCTCTGTGCCGTCCTCTCTTACGAGTATTCCAATAGTCCAGGTCCAGCAGCCAGAGCTACTGTAGCGAGCGAAACAGGTGACGAGTCTGCTGCGCTTCTCGTCCCGCCATTCGCTCCGCTTGTGAGACATGACATTGCTTCTCCCGATCCCTAGGTGAGACATGTTCTTCTCTAGTCAGGATCCACCATTCTTGGGTGGCTTGACTGACGTTTGGACGAACAGGTACCTACCGTCCGGGTGGAGTCGCCAGTAACGGAGAACGCTCAATAGCCCGATCTCGACGCCATCCCGATCACTAAGACGGGCTTGATTTGAGCAGACAGGGACTCGATGCATCGCCGCACAGACGGGCATGTAGGTACTCGTACATGTACGTGTATTGAGGCAAGCCGCACTCACTCGACATGGACGTCGACTAATCAATCACTCGGCTGACCCTCGCCGGCTGAACTGATTCCACGGACTGCCATGGGGGAACGGAAGATGGAAGACGAAAAGCACTCTAAACCACTGACCAGGGGGCGTCAAACCCGAATGCCACTTGCTGATGCAAAATGAGCTACCTGACAGTCCAGCGAGCACTATCTTCGTACAAGCAAAACCTCGACGCCGCAATGGAGCAGGCCCCAGACTTTTCTTAAGGCCGTCCCCATGCAGAGCCGGTGGTCCGCCGACAACACTTCTCTAGTTGGTCTTTTGTCTTTTGTCCAGTCCACGACAAAACGATCCATCTGCATCTCCGTCGTCGTCCAGGTGCCCATTGTGGCTCTTGTGTGCGCTACGGCATGACTACATGTGCGTGCATGGGAGACATGTTGCGAGATGCCCAGTCTGTCTCTTGCTCATGCGCGTGCCTTCGTATCACTGAGGAACCATGAATTGCCCCCGCAGTAGACTTCGTATTCGTCAGATGGCTGCTAATACCTGCGATACCGAGACAGCTACCCGAGGGCTACCTGAAGACGTGAAGAGCATTGCAGTCAATAGCAAGACAGGAGAGGCAAGCAAGCGCTGATTGTGCCAGATGAGCATGTCTTCGATCCCATTCTGACCACCATCCTGCCTCTGTACCTTGCATGTACTCGCCGTCTGGGCAAACGGAGTCGCCCAGCGATTGAATATACCCGCGACAGCACGCCCCACGCTAGGAGCCCGTTCATCAGCTACAGAGGCCAGGATGCTGTCCGTGGCGTCCGTGGCCGTACAGTGTGCCGTCCAACGATTTCACACAGGCGCCGGCATTATCAGTGTTAAGGACATGCTTCCTTTTTCGACAGGGATGCCGCTGTAGCTCCCTGCTGCGATTCGATCCCTTGGAGGTCTTTGCGTCATGGCCTGGCAACCCCCAGCAGATCAGCCACGCAGACTTGATAAAACCTCGCGAGCCTTGCAACCCAAACCCAAGCCAGCCCATCGACAGTCAATCTCTGAGCCTGGAGATTTGGTCTAGCCAGAGCTCGACGTCATCGTGGCCAAGTTTGGCCTTGGAAGAGAGCTCGCCAAAGCAGGCTGAGCGACGACTGCAAGTGCAGTCCATGTACGCTTAACTTACAAGCTCTTGCTAGTGGCATCTTTGTGTCGTCTGTTTGCTTTTCTCGAATGTTGATCCGTCTCGCTTGCAGGGTGCTCAAGTCGACATTTGGCTGAATGAACATCATCTACCTCCTTGGGTAGAGCACACATGTACTTCTACCCGACGGCCGTGTTGGCCCTTGGAGCCTCGCCCAAAATACAATTTGCAGGCGACAAGTCATCGCTGCATTGGTACTGTGACCTTCCATTGCATTGCTCCGTGCTGTGCCACGACACGTTGGACATGCCCTGCCCGTGTCCTGCTCTATGTCTGGTGGGTGACAAGACCTGCCGTGCTTTCTACGCGCCATCCTCTTCGCGCGCTTCCTTCGAGCTCCGGGGGGGTTTCAAAAGCCCAGAATCCTCTCAACAATGCCAGCAACATGGAATCAGTACGAATCCGCATCCGACTAGAGCAGCCTTCGCTGGCCAGTACAAAGCCCGCTGCGGATAAGCATCATGCAAGCAACCTAACCAAGATACTCTCCGCCAATCCTTAAAAGGCCGGGCCGAGCAGTCCCAGTACGAGATGCTATGCTACGGTAGTTCGGGCAGATGGCCAGTGCCACCGCGAGTGGTCGCAAAATGCAACGGCCCCCGTCAACTCAACGTCGTGCAACCAGTGAACAGCCAGGCGGGAGATTTGCCTAGCCCCAAGGATTTGCCAACTGGACTGGTGGTACATGCGTCTCTCGTTGCCCAAGTACCTCCTTCTACGCATCCCGATATGGCCGTGGCCCATTCCATTTGTCATTGACGCACCGCACGCAGGTACAGGGCACGTTGTACAAGCTGCGGTGATGAAATGTCCCTCGCCTCTTTTGGGTATCCTTGGCACTAATGGGGATGGCAATGAATAGCAAACAATGAGGCAGTCTCAGGCGAGTAGCATCCTATCTGCAAGCTCCCTACGTGCTTTACAAAAACATAAGAAAAAATCTGTCTTGAAACCCTCCGGGCGGATGATAGATGACCACGTGGACGGGATGGGACATTTCATTAGGGCCCGACTTAATCTCAACTGTGTGTGTGTGTCGACGGCGCCACATCAACCAGCAGTTGAGCTAAGACCCGTCTGCAGCATAGATGAGACGGGTGGAAGGCATTGGTGATTCATCATTCAAGCCAGACCTCCCCCTTTGGTCTCGTTTCTTTGTTTGGTGGCGAGCTTGATTCCGACAGACTCCTCTTGCAGAAGTGTGTTAACTTGCGTCAATGGTATGCCAAGTACTTGGATGGATGCTGTGCTTCGTAGACGTAATTAACTCTACAGCTTCTGGCGAGCAGACAACTGCGTTGTGAAACGGCCTGATTTCTTGAAGGGGTCTTGTCCTACCCCCCCCCCCCCCCTTCACGATGCAACTCTTTCCATTGGTCCAGAGCAAAGAATCCATGACCCGGCAATTCCAATGAAGGCTACAGCACTTTTCTCGCTTTTCCATGTTCGCATTGCCACAGAGCTGAATTGTCGAATGAAGAGCAGCTATTTCGAAATTAAAAAACGCCATGGTGAAATTGGATGTCCAAAGCATCGCCGCAGCAACGTCATCTGTGCGTGAATTGGCCACTGTTCAACTGGCTTGGGAACCAACAAGTGCTCTGGACAGTGAAATCTTTGGGCTTTTGCCAAGCCAATTGTCTACGGTGCTCGGCAAGTTGGTAGTGCGATATCTGGGCTCACTAATCTATGCAGGCTTTGGAACTTGGGGCTTCTTTTGTTCTAGCATCAGGGCGGATGTCTGGCGAGAGGTTCTGGGAGTGAGACCCAACAAACTGATCCCGGCAAGATAGATCCTTGGCCGCGGAAAAGCTGGAACGAAAAGAATTTTTCGAGGCTAGTTGCAAATTTTCAAGGCGATGGAATCTATCTATCTCTCTTTTTTTAGACTCACTAACGAACGGCAAGGGGGCGTAGCATTGATATCCTCGCAGGTCTGCTTACACGCCAAGACAGCTACCCGCGCGGTATTCCATTCTGGCTGCATCCGAGCCTCGCTCCCGTTGTTTTGCTGCGTTATATACGCATTCGAAACCACGTCCTTCTATCGCTGAGGAATCGGTAGTAGGGGATTTGTCTAATTGTTCTTCAATTCTTGACGTAAAAGTTATCCAACTTGTATGCTAAGTCTTGCAAGCGACTAAATAGCCATGGTTCGATTGAATGCGGGGAGCGATCCGCTGGAGTCACGCCGACTCCGCAATCGCAGCTCGACGACTCCATAACGTTATCAGAATGCGCTGATATGTGAACCTTCTTTATCGTGAGAGATGCGATATATCAGAGCTCACGATTGCTCATGAATGGAATTGCCACTTCAATATCATCTATACTGATCACTTTGTTCTTGATACAATGGTGAACGTGATTGTCGTTGCAGGGTGAGACTTGGAGCTCCAACCTACATGTATTATTCCTTGCGGGCATACATTGACAAAGACATCCTGATGCAGGGCCGGCGTGAGTGGTCTCACTTCAGCACTTCTCCTTTCGAGGAGCAAGGCCAATAAAGTTACCGTGGTTGCAAAGCACATGCCCGGTGATTATGATATTGAATATGCCTCACCTTGGGCTGGAGCAAACGTGCTTCCGTAAGTGTGCTCTTATATGATCCCCTGACTCTATTCTCGTATGACTTGGGGGATTAACTTAATTCTATATAGAATGGCTAGCGAGGAGAATAGCAGATGGGAGCGTCGTACTTGGCCAGAGCTGAAGCGCCTGACGGAAGAAGTCCCTGAAGCAGGAATTCACTTTCAGAGTAACTATCTCCATCATGCTGCGCATCTAAGACTTATTGCTAATAGTCGATGACTTACAGAGGCCCGTGTCTATAGAAGAGTCAAGGATGCAGAAGCTCCCGGATACCATCTATCCGACTATCTGTTCTCGACAGACCCTTGGTACAAATCAGTGCTCCCTGATTTCCGCGAACTGAGCAAAGAAGAAGTCATTCCAGGCCACGACTCGGGATGCGAATTCACGAGCGTGTGCATCAATACCGTCGTCTATCTCTCCTGGCTCGTCGGGCAGTGTCTCAAAAACGGCGTCGTCTTCAAAAGAGTCGTCTTAACGGACATTCGAGACGCAAAGTCCCTCAGTCACACCGGCCAGCCGGCAAACATCATCATTAATGCTACTGCCTTGGGATCTCTCAAGCTTGGAGGCGTGGAGGATACTACCATGACACCTGCTCGTGCGCAGATTGTTCTCGTGCGGAACGAGTATCATCCTATGATTGCCACGTCGGGAACTGACGATAGCGCTACGGAGATTACGTACATTATGCAGCGCGCTGCAGGCGGAGGCACGATTCTCGGCGGGACGTACGATATCGGTAACTGGGAATCTTCGCCCGATCCGAATATTGCGCTTCGCATCATGAAGAGGGCTGTAGAAGCTGCGCCGGGGCTTGCTGGGGGAAAGGGCATTGAAGGGCTGAGCGTCATTAGGCATGGTGTGGGATTGCGACCGTGGAGGAAGGACGGGGTGAGGATTGAGGAGGAGGTTTTGGATGGGGAGACTTTTATTGTGCATAATTATGGACATGCGGGATGGGGATATCAGGGTTCGTATGGATGTGCGGAGAGGGTTGTTGAGTTGGTGAATGAGATAAGGAAGAGGAAGGGGGAGGATTTGAGTGGTGAAGGAAAGGTGTTTTCATGGGCATAACTATCAACCTATTATTTTCTCTCATGCTATCCTTGGTTTATTTTATCATTCTATAAAGCTATATATAACTCTATAAAGCTATCAAGGCTTGATTTACTCTCTTTACACGACCAGTCATTCCATCTCGTCAAAAGCGAACAAGGGGACAGTGAGTCGAGGCATATAAGCGGGTCTATGCACTTTTCGGGGCGCCTCTCACCCATATACCAGCGAAAAGGCTCCACGTAGCATATAACGAGCTTCAAAACAAGGCCGTTCGTTTCACGTGGATTTTTCAACAAAAAACGACAATGCCCCTTTAATCAACAAGCTCGGGACAGGATTTTCCACTCATTTCTCTCATTCTCATTTATTCGGTGAAAACGAAGGATTAAACAGAGAGGGAAGAGGGAGAGGAAGAGAGCTTCTCTCATCACCGATCTCATGGCCTCTCTCATCAAGTTCGCCTCTGATGTCGCCAACGGCCGCCATGCGCTGTCGAAATTCATTCCCATGGGCCTTTGGCTCGCAGACGCCGTGCTGTGCGGTCTGATTATCTGGAAAGTGCCCTGTTAGTCGACACTGTACGATTCCGTTCTTTCAGCAAAATAAAGAAAATAGTTTGCTCAAGAAAAGGGGGGACAAGGGGAAAGATTTCATGCAGGAAAATCCAGACTAACGAGTGGAATCTATCACTTTCGATTCATTTTTTAGATACGGAAATCGACTGGGTCGCCTACATGGAACAGATCACGCAGTTTGTTCACGGGGAGAGAGATTATCCCAAGATGGAGGGCGGCACGGGGCCGTTGGTGTATCCCGCGGCTCATGTGTATATTTACACCGGGTTGTATTATCTGACCAACAAGGGTACCGATATCTTGTTGGCGCAGCAGCTCTTTGCCGGTTTGTACATGGCTACGCTGGGGGTGGTGATGCTATGCTATTGGAAGGCCAAGGTGAGCTTCTTCATTGACGAGTGTATAATCTTGTTTGGAGTAAAGGTGGTAACTAAAAGTGATGTCGCTCATGATAGGTTCCGCCGTACATCTTTCCGCTCTTGATTCTTTCAAAGCGGCTTCACAGCGTCTTTGTCCTGAGGTGCTTCAACGACTGTTTTGCGGCATTCTTCCTGTGGCTGTCAATCTTCTTCTTCCAGCGGCGAGTCTGGACCGTTGGTGCTCTGGCGTATACCGTCGGTCTTGGCGTCAAGATGTCACTGCTACTTGTTCTCCCCGCTGTTGTCATTGTGCTCTTCCTCGGTCGTGGGTTTAAAGGGGCTTTGCGGTTACTGTGGCTCATGGTACAGGTTCAGCTGCTCCTCGCCGTTCCATTCATCACGACAAACTGGAGGGGTTATCTTGGTCGAGCATTCGAGCTCTCGAGGCAGTTCAAGTTTGAATGGACAGTCAATTGGCGCATGCTCGGCGAGGAGTTGTTCCTCAGCCGGAGCTTCTCTATCACGCTACTGGCATTCCATGTCCTCTTCCTCCTCATCTTCATCCTCGGCCGGTGGCTGAAGATTAAAGAACGAACCGTCTTGAGAATGATCCCCTACGTTCTCCGGTTCCAATCGCCTTTCACAGAGCAGGAAGAGCTCAGCATCTCCCACAGAGTTGTCACGCCCAGGTACATCATGTCCGCCATGTTGTCGGCCAATGTGGTTGGGCTCCTGTTTGCCAGGTCTCTGCATTACCAATTCTATGCGTACCTGGCATGGGCAACGCCTTTCCTCCTGTGGACGGCCTCTCCGAACCCGCTTGTCGTGGTCCCGCTGTGGGCGGCACAAGAATGGGCTTGGAACGTGTTCCCCAGCACTCCTGTTAGCTCCAACGTCGTGGTGAGCGTCCTGGCTGTGACGGTTGCCATGGCCTTTGTAGGGTCGAACCCGCAGCATGCTGCGCCGAAACCAAAACAGCTATAGTGGTGGTATGAGAATACGACTGGGTTGTTGCGAGCAAAAGGATCGTTTCATTATTCCTCCTCTTCTTCCTCGTCGTCACTGGGCGGCATCTTTCCTACGTTGGAGTCGCTCTCCTCGTCGCTGAGATCTTGAGCCGTCTTTACGAATTCCCTTGGCCTGCAGCATATCGTTTAATACATGTATAGAAATAGAGATTGGGAAAGATGCAAATCATACCAATAAGGCTGCTTCCGCCAGAGTTTCTCGTCCCGGACGACATTGATGATTTCTCCAATCGCCCTGCTATCCTGAGTCCCCACTGGATATCCCTCAGCCAGGACGTATCCGCCACGCTTGATCCAGATGGTGTTGCGAAAGCGCTGGGCGAGCTCGAGGACGACGGCCTTTTTGTTTGGCATCTCGCACGTGTACAGGTTGTTGCCCTCGGGCTTGACGACGCGCACAATCACCTGCGTAGGCTCCAGGGCATCGGGCGGTGACAGCGCCTCTTGCGCAGCAGCGAGGACATTTCGCTTCGGACGGCCCATGATTTTCGATTATTGGTGATCAAGCTGATGCTTATTGCTATCAATGGATTGCTACTATCAAAAAAATTATCTGGTGGATGGGAATAAACCGGGGCTTGAATGGAGGGGCACTATCGATAGAACGACAAGCTCCTCGATAAGGAAAAAACCTTCCACCTCCCGGCTCTTGGATACTATCCGCCGCGGTATTTCCGTCTTGGGCGAGACCGCTTTCAGGGTCCATAACATAGCTGGGATGGATTAACTGGGGGCCATAAGAATCCATTACAAAACAATTCGCTTCAGAGGCGCAATGCTAGACGCCCCAATGGGAGAAATGCCGGGGAATTTTTACTTAATCTACTTTTGCAGCCAAGCAATAGACTATCGTACAATGGATTTATAATGTCCTTTTTAGGCATTTTGGCGTTCACCCAGCTGCGTTGACTCACCGGGCTAAACGGTGCCGCAGGATGGCTTGCAACAAGGCACTGCCAATCTCGTCGAGATCACGTACACCATCAGTACACCATCACCCCCTCAAGCCACCCGTTCTCGGGACAGCGGTCGAACATCGGGCTATACAAGCCACTAGCAAGGGCTCCGTGTGAAGAGA